GTATTTATCATAGCGGGATGTCTGAAACGGGGAAAAATCAACTGTTTCCTATATGATCCACTAAGTAATTTCTTTCCATCATCTAGAGTAGGGTATAAGGAAGGAACATCAGCTGTTTATTGGTTGCCTGTGATGGTTTTGGCATCCATGATCAAACAACGCGTTTTTGTTTCTTTGTAACAGTAACACAGCTTTGGCATGTAATGCAAAGGCTCAGTCCACCTATAAGCAATATGTTATTTACAGGTGAAGCCTGCTGGTCTGAGTGGGGTGAGTCAGATCCTGGCTTCTTATGTCCTGGCTGGATACTTCAGCTGTTCCACAAGCGACAGTCTCAAAGACATATATAAACCTCAGGACAAAGGATCATTTCTTAAAGTGTTACTAAACCCCGGACCCTGCATTTCTATATCTGGTCTCCCAGGACCCTGAATTCACTATATCTGGTCTCCCCGGGCCCTGCATTCACTATATCTGGTCTCCCCGGACCCTGCATTCACTATATCTGGTCTCCCAGGACTCTGGATTCACTATATCTGGTCTCCCCCGGATCCTGCATTCACTATATCTGGTCTCCCCCGGACCCTGCATTCACTATATCTGGTCTCCCCGGACCCTGCATTCACTATATCTGCTCTCCCCGGACCCTGCATTCACTATATCTGCTCTCCCCGGACCCTGCATTCACTATATCTGGTCTCCCACAGTACACACAACATGGAAATGCTATTATTTTAGTAAATATACATTTCTAAAGACCTTTTCTCATCATGTATTGTACAACATAGAGTGGAGGATCCAATGTAACATACAGCAAAGCATGTACAGTGAATCGTCCATAGCAGGCATCTCTAAACTTTCTAAACAAAGGGCCGGTTTACTGTCCTTCAGACTTTAGGAGGGCTAGAGTGCCCAGTGGGAATAGAAAATGTCCCAGCGTCAGTAGGAGTAAAAAAAAAAATGACTTGTAGTCAGTGGAAGGAGGAATAGTATTGGTATTGGTTGGAGGAACAGTGTCCTATCATTGGTATTAGTGGGAGGAATAGTGCTCCATCATTGGTATCATTGGGAGGAATAGTGCTCCATCATTGGTATTAGTGGGAGAAATATTGCTCCATCATTGGTGTCAGTGGGAGGAACAGTGCCCCATCATTGGTATTAGTGGGAGGAATAGTGCTCCATCATTGGTATCATTGGGAGGAATAGTGCTCCATCATTGGTATTAGTGGGAGAAATATTGCTCCATCATTGGTGTCAGTGGGAGGAACAGTGCCCCATCATTGGTATCAGTGAGATGAATAATGGCCCATTATTGGTATCAGTGGGAGGAATAGTGCCCCATCATTGGTATTAGTTGGAGGAACAGTGCCCCATCATTGGTATTACTAGGAAGAATAGTGCCCCATCATTGGTATTACTTGGAGGAATAGTGATTCATCATTGGTGTCAGTGGGATGAATAGTGCCCCATCATTGGTATCAGTGAGATGAATAATGGCCCATTATTGGTATCAGTAGGAGGATTAGTGCCCCATCATTGGTATTAGTTGGAGGAACAGTGCCACATCATTGGTATTACAAGGAAGAAGATTGCCCCATCATTGGTATGAGTTGGAAGAACAGTGCCCCATCATTGATTATAGTTGGAGGAACAGTGCCCCATCATTGGTATTACTTTTAAGGAATAGTGCCCCATCATTGGTATTACTAGGAAGAATAGTGCCCCATCATTGGTATTAGTTGGAGGAACAGGGCCCCATCATTGGTATTACTAGGAAGAATAGTGCCCCATCATTGGTTTTAGTTGGAGGAACAGTGCCCCATCATTGGTATTACTAGGAGGAATAGTGCCCCATCATTGGTATCTGAGGGAGGAATAGAGCCCCATCCTTGATATTAGTTGGAGGAATAGTACCTAATTGTTTATATCAGTGGGAGGAATTGTGCCACATCATTGGTCTCAGTGGAAGGAAAAATACCCCATAGTTGGTGCCAGTGAAAGAAATGGTGGCTCCTTGTTGGTGTCAGTGGAAGGAATAGCACCCCGTGGGTTGGATAGAGGCAAGCGAAGGGCCACATTTGGCCTACGGGCCACAGTTTGGAGACCACTGGTCCAGAGTATGTAATGTAAGACATACAGTGAATTGTCCAGGGTAAGTAACACACAGCATAGTATGTAGACTAAGCATCCAGGGTAAGTAACATACAGCATAGTATGTAGACTAAGCATCCAGGGTAAGTAACATACAGCCTAGTATGTAGAGTAAGCATCCAGGGTAAGTAACATACAGCCTAGTATGTAGAGTAAGCATCCAGGGTAAGTAACATACAGCATAGTATATAGACTAAGCGTCCAGGGTAAGTAACATACAGCATAGTATATAGACTAAGCGTCCAGGGTAAGTAACATACAGCATAGTATATAGACTAAGCGTCCAGGGTAAGTAACAAGCAACTCGGCATATAAAGTGAGGCAGTCAGAAATATGTAACATAAAGCACAGCATAGAGTGTGCAATGGTCAGGAGTAAGTAATGTGCCTGAGTGTGCTTCTTAAATTGCTGGGTATGAGAAAAAACATGTCTGAGTGTCAGTGGTATGAAAAAAAGCCTGGTATTGAAATCAAAGGAAAGAAAGAATGGTTGGTGTCAGTGGGAGGAAGAATATGCCCCATTGTTGGTGTCAGTGGTAGGAAGGACCCATCATTGGTGTCAGTTGAAGAAAGACCCTGTTTTGATGTCAGTAGGAGGAGGAATATTCCCCATTGTTGGTGTCAGTAGGAGAAATGACCCATCGTTGGTGTCCGCTAAGAAAAAATGCTCCAGCATTGGTGTAGTGAGTATCTGAGGAGGTAGTCTATGTCCTGTGCTAAAGCCTGTAACTGTCCAGATAACATAGGCACTAGAACTATGATGAAGGCTGTCCTCCTGGATCCAAGACCAGGCCTTCTGAGTGGCAGTGCTGTCACCTTCTGCCATTATGTAGGCCATATCCAGGATCCAAGACAATAGGCAGCTATGTGCTCAATATGTGTGCTGATCATACACTGATAACAATGGCAAACACCAAGTCATTTACAGATTTGTGTATGAAATACCATCATGCAAAATGGAAAAGTAACATGTAAGAAATCCCGTCGACAGTAAAGACATGTCTATGTTTTGACTGGAATTTCACCCTGTAGTCACAGTTCTCTGTTTCTGCTTCAGGCTATCTTTTAACATTCGTCTCATGTGACGGAGCCATCTGTACAGAGGTCACTGATGTCTCTGTTTGTGATGTCACATCCTGTAACAGAGGAGACATGTCCAAGCCTGACACCAAACAACAGTTCTTGGCTGTTCCCTGTCTTTGCCTTAAAAAAATTATCCAAAGCATCTCAGCAAACATGGTTTTAGTGGATACAATTTACATTTTCAATCATTCTACTCGACTTCAAACCTTGTCCACTGTAATCCTTCCCTGCAATTCTCTAATTTTCAGGCCATTGTGTTAATTTGGCAATGCTAGTGGGAGATTTTTATGATCAACCACTATTCCAACTTTTTACATTAGAGCAGTGGCCTCCAAACTGCAATTTGGGGGCCGGATGTGTCCCTTTGCCTTTATCCAGCCCTTGGGGCACTGTTCCTCCCATTGACGCCAACAACAGGGCACTATTCCTCCCACTGACACCAACGAAACGGCACAATTTTTCCCACAGATACCAATGATGGGGCTCTATACTTCCCACTGATATCCATGGCAGGGCACTATTCCTCCCACTGATATCCACTGGCAGGGACTTCAATGGCAGGGCACTATTCCTCTTAGTAACACCAACTAAGCGACACAATTTTTCCCACAGATACCAATGATGGGACTCTATTCCTCCTACTGACCTAATAATGGGGCACTATTAATCCCAGTCACCAATGATGGGGCACTATTAATCCCAGTCACCAATGATGGGGCACTATTAATCCCAGTCACAATGATGGGGCACTATTAATCCCAGTCACCAATGATGGGGCACTATTAATCCCAGTCACCAATGATGGGGCACTATTAATCCCAGTCACCAATGATGGGGCACTATTAATCCCAGTCACCAATGATGGGGCACTATTAATCCCAGTCACCAATGATGGGGCACTATTAATCCCATGGGGTCACCAATGATGGGGCACTATTAATCCCAGTCACCAATGATGGGGCACAGTATTGGGGCACTATTAATCCCAGTCAACAATGATGGGGCACTATTAATCCCAGTCACCAATGATGGGGCACTAATTGCCAGTCACACTGTTGACTGACACCAACAAAAGGGCACAATTTCAATTTGGGGCAGCACAGTGGCTAAATGGTTAGCACTTCCGCCTGGCAGTACTAGGGTCGTTGGTTCAAATCCCAGCCATGGCATCAGGAAAAATAAACCAATTCCCATATTCACACATTTGATGTGGATGGGGGAATCCTCCCCACTGTGTTCTGATGGGGGGGGGGGGAAGGGGGAAGCCCTCCCCACTGTCAGAACACACTGATCATTTTTTGCTGTCTATAGCAGGTGGCACTGAACATTCAGGAATCTCCTCTATTGTAGTCATTGAAAGAAAGCCTTGTGGGTTGATTGCTGTTGGCTATGTATAGCAGAAACATTAACAAGTCCGATATAATGAAATCTATAATGGGACTTTTCACAGATGATTTTGGGAGTCAGAACCAAAATGAAATGCAGTTAACAATTAGCATATTTTATTACAAAGAAATCACATGATAAAATTGCCCTTGTGCATGTAACATAAATATGATAAAAAAAACAATAGAAAAGGCATCACATATGTTGATAAAGATGGTACGAAATGGTCTACGCGTTTCACAGGTCACCCCAAGGAAATGAAAACACTTGATGCCCTCGGGAGCTGAAATTTGCTGTGTTGATTTATTGGATGCTCCCCCAGCACACACTATGTTATAAGTCCCTCTCTTGTCCTGTCACAGGTTCACCGCAGTAGACACTATGACGGATGGTGACTATGATTATCTGATTAAGCTCCTGGCACTTGGAGATTCTGGTGTTGGAAAGACGACATTTCTCTACAGATACACAGATAACAAGTTCAATCCTAAATTCATCACGACGGTCGGGATTGACTTCCGGGAAAAGAGAGTGGTGAGTTACCTTTCATGTTCTTGGAACTCTAGTGGGAGACTATGGAATGTCAAAGGCCATCACATATGTTTCCAGCAGGCAAATGTTCCTATTCCTCAAGAGGACCTCTCGTTCACACAGGCATTTCTATCTCCTGCAAATCAGTTAATTCCTATGCCATGGTTGTCCAAACTTTTGACCTTCCTGGGCCACATTGGAAGAAGAGGGATTCTCTTGGGCCGCACATAAGAAGCACTAACAATAAGGCCACATTCACACATCACAATTTTGAATCCTAGACAGAATCAACGCGTTTCTGCCCCCAATTTCAAATCGCATTGCAACCGTGGCAGTCATGTTTGGGTACAATTCATTGTGAATGGCACCTCAAATGCGGTGCAATATTGTCACGCTTGTCGCACGCCAATCGTGGCAAAATGCATAACGTAAAGTTGTCATCCAAAAGAAGCTCCTTCTTTTTGGGTGACAAGCTTTGTGCAATGCATTTTGCTGCGATTACCATGTGATTCTGACGCATGAAGAAAAATCACACCGCCTTTGAGGTGCCATTAAGAATGAATTGTAACCAAACACGCGTGGTGCGTTTTGCCAAACGGCATCCCTCCAGACATTCTTGAGCCCTGCTTGTCTGTGTCGACCACCAACCACCGCTGGATTCTATGCTAAACACGGCATCCCCAGCATCCCTCCAGATGTTCTTGAGCCCTGCTTGACCACTGCTGGATGCTATGCCAAACACGGTATCCTCGGCATCCCTCCAGACGCTCTTGAGCCCTGCTTGACCACTGCTGGATGCTATGCCAAACACGGCATCCCCAGCATCCCTCCAGACGTTCTTGAGCCCTGCTTGACCACCTCTGGATGCTATGCCAAATACAGAATCCCCTGCAACCCTCCGGGTGTTCTTGAGCCCTTCTTGTCTGTGTGCTATGCTAAACATGCCATCCCCTGCATCCCTCCAGATGTTCTTGAGCCCTGCTTGACCACCAATGGATGCTATGCCAATCACGGCATCCCTCCAGACGGTCTTGAGCGATACTTGTCTGTGTGCTATGCCAAACACGGCATCCCCAGCATCCCTCCAGACGTTCTTGAGCCCTGCTTGACCACCTCTGATGCTATACCAAATACGGCATCCCCTGCATCCATCCAGAGGTTCTTGAGCCCTGCTTGTGTGCTATGCCAAACACTATTATTATTATTTTTATTATTATTATACAGTATTATATAAAGCGCCAATAGTTCGCTCAGCGCTGTACATTACAAAGGGAGACAGAACATGTCCAGAACAATACCAATACAATGCAAAACATGAGGGGATCAAGGGCCCTGCTCTTTCGAGCTTACAATCCCTAGCTGTGGGGGATGGAGTGTAGGAAGAGTGGAGGAGGGAGGCAAGTTAGCATGCTTCCCTGAAGAGATGGGTTTTCAGGGTGTGCCTATAGAGTAGGTGATAATCTGATGGGTTGGGGCAGGGAGTTCCAGAGGATGGGTGACACCCTGGAGAAGTCCTGGAGGCGGGCCAAACACTGCATCCTTCCAGATGTTCTTGAGCCCTGCTTGACACCTCTGGATGCTATGCCAAATACGGCATCCCCTGCATCCCTCCGGGCGTTCTTGAGCCCTGCTTGTCTATGTGCTATGCTAAACATGGCATCCCCTGCATCCCTCCAGACGTTCTTGAGCCTTGCTTGTCTGTGTGCTATGCCAAACACTGCATCCCCTGCATCCCTCAAGATGTGAACATTCATAGCCGCAAGTTTATGATTTTTTGTCGGGCCGCATGCAGCCTGAGGGCCGCAGGTTGGACATCCCTCATTTACTGTATACTTTCTGGACACTCTGGATAAAGATGCTATAAGTCTCATCTCTGCCCTTCTTTTTCAAACTATTCACAAGCTAGCGGATTCACTTATCCCTACAATATTATTAATTTAAAGTAAAAATTCACCCAAAATGGGAAGTTCTACTTGTTTGCATCTTCCCCCCTCCCCCCCTTCACTGCCACATTTGGCACTTTTTGGGCGGGGGAGGGGGGAGCAGGTACCTGGTTGTGATACTTATGGTCAGATCCCTGCAGCCAAGTTCAGCTCCTCCTCCTTCCCCCACAGCCTTCTGGGTCACATGACAGACCCCAGAACACTGTGGGACCATTCACAGTGCAGCACGGCTCACATATACTCAGTAGGAACGCTTCACTGCTGGTTTCCCTTACCTAAGAGTTGGAGCCTGCAGGCTAAGCTGGTTGAAGAATTGCTGGATTCCTGGACAGGTGGGGTGTCCCTATAATAAAAGTCAGCAGCTACAGTATCTGTAGCTGCTGACTTTTAATGATTTTTTTTTTTTTTGGGGGAGGACTGGAGCTTCTCTTCAACAACCAAATCGAAATGAAGTCCTTTTGCTGACCTAGCTATCCGCTGGGGGGATTAATGCTGTGGAGCAACAGGAGAGTTACATAGTTAGTCTGGCTGAAAAAAGACAAAAGTACATCCAGCTCAATCATTAAAAAAAAAAGGTTAAAATCCTATACCCACTGTTGATCCAGAGGAAGGCAAAAAAAACTCCTTCCTGATCACCCGAGAGGCGATCGGATATTCCCTGGATCAACTTTACCTATAAATGTTATATCCAGTTATATTCTGTGAATTTAAGAAAGAATCCAGGACTTTTTTAAAGCAATCCACTGAGCTGGCCAGAACCAACTCTTGAGGGAGTCTATTCCACATTTTCACAGCTCTCACTGTGAAGAAACCTTTCCGTGTTTGGAGATTACATTTATTTTCCTCCAGACGTAAAGAGCGCCCCCTTGTCCTCTGTGATGACCTCAGGGTGAATAACTCTACACCGAGTTCACTATATGAACCACTGATGTATTTATACATGGAGATCATATCCCCCCTTATGGAGTATTATACATGGAGATCATATCCCCCCTTATGTATTATACATGGAGATCATATCCCCCCTTATGTATTACACATGGAGATCATATCCCCCCTTATGTATTATACATGGTGATCATATCCCCCCTTATGTATTACACATGTAGATCATATCCCCCCTTATGTATTATACATGGGATCATATCCCCCCCTTATGATCATATCCCCCCCTTATGTATTCTACATGGTGATCATATCCCCCCTTATGTATTATACATGGAGATCATATCCCCCCCCCTTATGTATTATACATGGAGATGATCATATCCCCCTTATGTATTATACATGGAGATCATATCCCCCCTTATGTATTATACATGGAGATCATATCCCCCCCCTTATGTATTCTACATGGAGATCATATCCCCCCCTTATGTATTATACATGGAGATCATATCCCCCCTTATGTATTCTACATGGAGATCATATCCCCCCCTTATGTATTCTACATGGGAGATCATATCCCCCCCTTATGTATCCCCCCTTTATACATGGAGATGTATTATACATATCCCCCTTATGTATTATACATGGTGATCATATCCCCCCCTTATGTATTATACATGGAGATCATATCCCCCCCTTATGTATTATACATGGTGATCATATCCCCCCCTTATGTATTATACATGGGTGATCATATCCCCCCCTTATGTATTATACATGGAGATCATATCCCCCCTTATGTATTATACATGGAGATCATATCCCCCCTTATGTATTATACATGGTGATCATATCCCCCCTTATGTATTATACATGGAGATCATATCCCCCTTATGTATTATACATGGAGATCATATCCCCCTTATGTATTATACATGGAGATCATATCCCCCCTTATGTATTATACATGGAGATCATATCCCCCCTTATGTATTTATACATGTTGATCATATCCTCCCATGTATTATACATGGGCAGACTGACCATTTGGAAACTCGGGCACTGCCCGAGGGCCCGGGGTTAGTAGGGGGCCCCATGAGATGCCCATGGTACCTTTTTTCATAGGCTTTGAGTTTGGGCAAGGACACAGGGGCCCCATGATCCCCTATTACAGGGGGGGGCCCCATGAGTTGTCAGTCAGGGGCCCCCCCTGTATCCCCCCTTAGGCTTCATGTACTTTTTTCACGAGCAGCTCCTAAACTCGAGTTTCGGAGCTTTTGACATTTTTTGGCCACTCCACTCCATAAAAACCTATCTGTCCGTGTACACAAAGGCTTTTAGCAGAGTTTAGGAGCTGCCACGTTTAGGTGAGGTTAAACCTCCCTCTCCTGAATGTGAAAGAATCGCGTTCAGGATAGGAACGTTTTGACCGCCGATTGCGGGAAAATGCAAAATCGCGGTACCATGTTTGCTACGTTTTGCTGCGGTTTTGGTGCAATTTGGTTTTTCCTGTGGTAGGCTTGTGTACATGTAGCCTTAATCTCCTCTTCTCAAGAGAGAATAAATTCAGTTCCTCTAATCTTTCCTCATAGCTGATCTCCTCCATGCCTCGTATCAGTTTGGTTGCCCTTCTCTGCACTTTCTCCAGTTCCCCAATGTTCTTTTTGTGAGTGTATGATGATTTGTCTGAAATATATTTTGTCTATGTTGATATGGTATCTTTCTTCAGGACTACAATAAAACCAGTTCTGGCAGCACACATGGAAAGTCCTTAAAAGTTCATCTACAGCTGTGGGACACAGCTGGACAGGAGAGGTAAGTTAAATATTCAAAGTTAATTATGTGTGTGTTACAGGCTCCATCACCAGGGGAACATGAGGCCCCTTTCACACGGGGCGGACCCATCAGCGATCTGTTTGCTCAGTGGCGGATCTGTCTGCTAGCCCCCGTTGAACAAGCGGATGACAGGTCTGTGTCCGCTCTGCTTATGCAGACTGGAATCAGACACAGCCTGCTGGTCTCTATGGGCTGTCGGATGGAAACGGTTGGTTGTCCGTTTCCATCCAACTACCATCTGATCCAATTTGATCCCCATCTGTTTCTTTTTGGCGGATCAAATTGGATTGGATGTCAGTAGGTGTAAAGAGACACATGTCCGCCGCTCAATAGAGAAGAACAGAGGTTCTGATTGGGTCCGCCTGAAGAACGGCAGGCAGGTCCGATCGGAACATCCGTGTGAAAGAGACCTTAAGGGTAAAAAGAACTTAAAAAAGAAACGAATGCAGCCATCACATCTAAAGATCTGTAGGCTCTAATATATAATTTTTTATATTTTTGGGTTTATTACTGCTTTCGTTTTTAACTCCCTTTAAGCTTCCTCATTTCCTTATTTATAGCCCTGTTATATTATCCACTTCCCGTATGGCCCATGTACTGTATATAAACGGCTGGACGGTGGCAGTGCAGGGGCGGGTTGCCTTTCATAAACGGTGCCCGCCATTTTGGACTGTGCGTGCTCCTTGGGAACACCGATCGTTGTACGGGTCCTCTGTGTGAGGTCCCGATCATGTGATCACTGATTGGCCAATCAGTGATCACATGAATAGTAGTAAGCAAGATGTCACTTCTGACATCATTGCTTACTACGTGTGAAATCTGTGAATGATCACAGAGATCACATGGTACAGGGCTATTCACAACAGCCTTGTACTATGTGACAAGCTGTGACCAATCGCAGCTCACACAGCCAGAGAGAAGGAGCCAGAGAGAAGGAGAAATTATTGCTTTTACAGCCTTTATGGGTGTAAAAGCAATCCGTGTTAAAAAAAAAAAATCATAACCCCCCACAAGTAGTCAGTGTTACTGTGGTGACACTGTACTGCTAGGGTGACAGGATGTTAAAAAAATAAAAATGTAAAAAAAAAAAGTTTGAAAAATTATAATTTTGGTTATAAACTAATTTGGGTTATTTTTTTTAACTAAAAATATAACGAAATACATTTTTTTTTGCCAAAATTTATGAAGAAAGATTATTTATTTGCAAAATGTTATAAGAAAAACACTTTTTTTTTCTAAATATTTGGACTTTTTTATTTATATTGTAAAAAAAAATAAAAATCCCAGTGGTGCATAAATACCACCAAAATAAAGCTTTATCTGTCTCAAAAAAATGCTAAACAATTCATATGGGTACAGTGTTGCATGACTGCGCAATTGTCATTCAAAGTGTGAGAGCGCTGAAAGCTGAAAATTGGCCTGGACAGGAAGGGGGTAAAAATGCCCGGACATGAAGTGGTTAATCTGTTGGTGTACGGTAGTTGGTGATGTGATCTTCGCAGCCACTGGGTGGATATTTTCCGGGTGTTTCTATTTCAGGCAATTTATAATTGGCCATGCTCTAACTATCTGCAGGTTCCGGAGTCTCACCACGGCATTCTTCAGAGACGCCATGGGTTTCCTATTAATGTTTGACCTTACCAGTCAGCAAAGTTTTCTCAATGTCCGGAATTGGATGAGTAAGTATACCTTTTTATAACATTTTACGTTGACATTGTACCTACAGAGAAAAAAAGAACAATCTTCTGCGCTCGAGAGAAGTGTGCTGGCAAAAGTCAGTCCCAAGTCTATGGCTGCTCCTATACTGGTACAGGCTTTGCTGCCCCCTCAGGGTTGGGGAAGCCCAGAAGAAGTACTGGAAAACAAGGAACACAGGGTGCACCAGCCTTGCGCATTACCTTTTATAATAGCTGTATTGTTTATAAAATAGATGTATACTCACAAAAAAGATCAGCAATAAGGCACATCGGGGTCATAAAGAGCCTTGTCACCTAGGCAAGTCCTAGATGGAAGAAGACCCTCCAAAAGGCTACGCGTTTCGAGGGGCGATCCCCTCTTCCTCAGAGCCCATATTGAATGTTGCATAGATAGTCTTTTATATAGTGAATGGGTCTGTGACGGAGGGTAGGCAAGACAGAACACACAGAGTAGATGGCAAACGCACAAAGCTTTATTGAGACAGACAGATGACAGTCACTTAATAGGGGAATTCGCAGGGAGGGTGAATATGCCAGTAAAGGGCAGCAAGGAGGGGCCAACACACTTATAGTCCAACACCGAGAGCCAAGGAAGAGTCTCTGTAGCAATTGTAATCCAACGGGGGGGTGGTGAGTCTCTGTAGCAATTGTAAATCAACAGGGGGGGGGGATCAGCACAGGAACAGTTCAAGTAAACCAGGGAGAGTGCATGTACTTACGGATCCGACAGGGTGCCTGGTCTCCCACTGGGGGTCTCTGGAGCTCTGGCAGCTGGCAGGCAAACTCGCAATCACTCCCCTAGGCTGGGGGGTCTCTGGATCCCTGGTTGCTAGCAGGCAGTCCTGTAACCTCTCCCCTAGGCTGGGGGGTCTCTGGATCCCTGGCGGCTAGCAGGCAGTGGCTGGGGGTCTCTGGATCCCTGGCGGCTAGCAGGCAGTCTTCCCCTGCTCTGGGGGGGTCTTAGGCAGGCTTGGGTCTCTGCAGAGTCTGGCCACGAAGGTCCCGCCGCAGCTGGGGCTCCTTCAGTGGCTGCACAGCGGTGAATACCCCGGGAGCGCCCGGCATCAGCTTCTTAAGCTGATGTTGGACGCTCCTTGGTCGCCTAGGCAACCGGGGCGGGCCAGAACTGGCATGCCTTGTTGCCCGGCAACGAGGCACGCCACCTGGACAGGGGCTGTGCCTCTCGTGAGCGCGGCCTTTGTCCAGGGACATCCGCAAGTGCGGGAACTTCCCGTGCCTGTGCTGCGGATGACAGGGTTGAAGTGGCGTCAGCGAGACGCCGTAGCCCGTAACATCTCTGCGGGGAGGTACGCACCTCGCCACCCTCTCCTCTCCGGCCGCCTATGTATTATTTCTTTTTCTTTTGAGGTAACACTTATCGTGGAAACCGTTTGGAGGACATATTTTTTTTAACACATTTTCATCTTTATTACACAGGAGGGACCTTTTTGTGTTTTATTTTGCGTGTGGTTTTTTTTAATATTTTTGAAATTTTGAACTTTTGTTGGGACTTGATTTGTTTTGCGTGTGGTTTTTTTGATATATTTGAAATTTTGGACTTTTGTTGGGACTTGATTTCACTTGAGTTTTTGGTTTTGGGGGGATTTATCAACTACATTTTGGCATATTCATTATTATATAATTGTTTATAATACACAGTGCTTTAGCAAACTAAATGTCAGTCAGTTAGCATTTACACTCACTTTATTATCCAGTTGTCCGGCATATTTTGATCTTTCTTTTTTTTTTTTTTCAGGTCAGCTGCAAGCAAATGCTTACTGTGAGAGTCCAGATATTGTCTTAATTGGTAACAAAGCAGACCTGTCAGATCAACGAGAGGTCAATGAACGGCAAGCAAAAGAGCTTGCTGATAAATATGGGTGAGTTATTTGAATAAACCAGATTTATTGGGCTAGTCTAGGGGTCTCCAAACTTAAGAAACAAAGGGACAGTTTACTGCCCTTCAAATTTTAGGGGGGCCGGACTGTGGCCAGTGGGAGTAGAAAATGCCCTGACATTTCTGGAAGTAAACAATGCTTTAGGCTTGGTGGTCAGTGGGTGTTAAAAAAAAATGACATCACTGGTGTCAGTGAGAGGAATGGTGCCCCATAATTGGTGTCAGTGGGACATATAGTGCCCCATCTTTGGTATCAGTAAGAGGAATAATGCCCCATCATTGGTATCAGTGGGAGAAATAGAGCCCCATCATTGGTGTCAGTGGGAGGAATAGTGCCTCATCATTGGTGTCAGTGGGATGACTAGTGCCCCATCATTGGTGTCAGTGGGATGACTAGTGCCCCATCATTGGTGTCAGTGGAATGACTAGTGCCCCATCATTGGTGTCAGTGGTAGGAATAGTGCCCCATCATTGGTGTCAGTGGAAGGAATAGTTCCACATCATTGGTATCAGTGGAAGGAATAGTGCCCCATCATTGGTATCAGTGGGAGGAATAGTGTCCCATCATTGGTATCAGTGGGAGGAATAGTTCAACATCATTGGTATCAGTGGGAGGAATAGTGCCCCATCATTGGTATCAGTGGGAGGAATAGTGCCCCATCATTGGTATCAGTGGGAGGAATAGTGCCCCATCATTGGTGTCAGTGGGGGAGGTCAGTGGGAGGAATAGTGCCCCATCATTGGTGTCAGTGGGAGGAATAGTGCCACGTCATTGGCGTCAGTGGGAGGAATAGTGCCCCATCATTGGTATTAGTGGGAGGAATAGTGCCCCATCATTGGCGTCAGTGGGAGGAATAGTGCCCCATCATTGGTATCAGTGGGAGGAATAGTGCCTCATCTCTGGTGTCAGTGGAAAGACTAGTGCCTTACATTAGTGGAAGGAAAAGTGCCACAAGGGTCAGAATAAAGGCAAGCAAAGGGCCACATCTGACTCACGGGCTGCAGTTTGGAGACCCCTGGGCTAGTCCATTCTCAAATGGGTGCAGCTACCATCCCTGGAGGATAGAAGGAACCAATGAGCAATTCAGTCTTTAGTTCTGATTGGACTGGTTTTCAATAAAGCAGGAGAAATACTCTGGGGTCCTATTCATTGCACTTCACCCATCCTTGGTGAATTCTAATTGTATTTTGCTTAAAGTGGTTGCAGAGGCTCAAGGCTCATTATATGCATGAAGGTAAAAAACACCTTCTGTGTGCAGCAGTGCCCCCAGCCTAGGGTTGCCACCTCATTCCTTTAAAACCGAACATATATTAATAATTACACAGGTTCTGGGGCTGATTAAAGTGGTAATTAAACTCACTTAGTACCTTATCTGCATTACATTAGCCTCAGAACCTGTATAAATAATGTGTATTCAGTTTTAAAGGGATGAGGTGGCAACCCTACCCCAGCTCCCTCAATACTTACCTGAGCCCCATTGAGATCCAGTGATTTGCACAACAGCTTTGGCTGTCCCGAGTCTCTGCCTCCTCATTGGCTGAGACTGTAAGCGAGAGCCATTGCCTCCCGGTGCTGTCAAACACAGCTGTAGACCAATGAGAAGAGAGTTGGGGCGGGGCCAACTGCAGCTCTCTGTGTGAATGGACACATGGAGCAGTGGGTGCCTCCATAGCAAGCTGCTTGCTGTGGGGGTACCCGACAGGAGGAGCCAGGAGAGCCTGTGGGGGACCCGAAAACAGGAGATTTCAGCCTGCTCTGTGCAAAATCACTGCACACAGTAGGTAAGTATAGACATGTTTTTTATTTTGCAAAAAAAAAAAAATGAACCTTTAGAATCGCTTTTAATACAGTGATTTCCTTAGATCGTCATCTCCATCTAGTGGCCATAATGCAGTATTTTTCCTGAAATATCTCAATCAGAAAAATATACACCAGGGGTCTCAAAGCTTCCTAAGCAAGGGGTCAGTGTACTGTCCTTCAGAATTTAGGAGGACCAGACTGTAGCCAGTGGAAATAGAAAATGACTTGGTGGTCAGCGGGGGCTAAAAAATAAATTACATAAGGCCTGTGGGAAGTAGGAGGCGGAATAGTGTCTTATCATTGGTATTAGTGGGAAGAATAATTTCCATTCTTGGTGTCAGTAGGAGGAATAGTGACCCAATGTGGTTATCAATGGGATTAATAGTGTCCCATCATTGGTATCAGTGGGAGGAATAGTGCCCCATCATTGGTGTCAGTGGAAGGAATAGTGCTCCATCATTGGTGTCAGTAGGAGGAATAGTGTCCATTGTTTGTATCAGTGGGAGGAATAGTGCCCCATCATTGGTGTCAGTGGGAGGAATAGTGCCCCATCATTGGTGTCAGTGGGAGGAATAGTGCCCCATTGTTGGTATTGGTGGGAGGAATAGTGCCCCATTGTTGGTATCGGTGGGAGGAATAGTGCCCCATTGTTGGTATCGGTGGGGGGAATAGTGCCCCATCATTGGTGTCAGTAGGAGGAATAGTGCCCCATCATTGGTGTCAGTGGGAGGATTAGTGCCGTATAGTTCGTGTCAGTAGAAGGAATAGTGCCCCAATTTTTGGTATCAGTGGGATGAATAGGGCCCTATCATTGGTATCAGTAGGATGAATAATGCTCCATCTTTGGTGTCAGTGGAAGGAATAGTGCATCATCTATGGTGTCACTGGAAAGGATAGTGCTATGGAGCATTGTGTAGGAAGATTCAAAGCATTCTCTGCTCTTCATCAGTTCACACTGTATAGTTTAGACAGCATTTCTGAGCTTCCAGAGGCAGGGAGTGGGGATGTGATGTCATCACACTGAACAGCATAGAGCAGGAAGGAGTGTAATCTGAGACCTGAGTGGAGGGACTGGACACGCCCACTCTACATAGTCTCATAGGGAAATATGCACAGGTGAGGCTGTCAATCAGACTGTGTGCTGGAGCTCCCCCTTCTCCATCATTGCTTGGAGTTGGTATTACCTGTAAGATGTGACAGTATAATTGCTGCTCCCTGCCAAGAACTTTTAAAACTCTCTTGGGGGGTTTGGTGCATATTCCCCAGGACAGTGCTCAGCCCCCATGCCACTTGTTTGACAATCCTTGCCTATTTATTACAGGTACACTTAGCACTTTACATATATATTGTACATTCACATCAGTCCCTAACCCTCAAGGGGAGTACAATCTAAGGTCCCTAACTCACATTCATATTAGGGCCAATTTAGACAGGAGCCAGTGAACCTACCAACATGTCTTTGGAGCGTGGGAGGAAACTGGAGAACCCAGAGGAAACCCATGCAGGCACAGGGAGAACATGCAAACTCCATGCAAGTAGTGCCGTGGTTGGAATTTGGACTGGTGACCCTAGTACTGCCACGTAAAAGTGCTAGCCACTCTGCTGCCTATAAGTTGTCTATAACTGAGTTCTATGATTCATTTCCCATTAACTTCAATGGGATTTGCACCTTCAATATAGTGCATCTACCTGTCCCAGACCAAACCCAGGAACATTGAGCTAATCACTAGAGCTGGGTTACAGCCGTGTAGTCATAAAGATATCATTGCAGCAACTGTCAGCGGGCCTTTCAGCTCCAGAGACAGAAATACAGTAGAAAATAGTGATGGGTTGAACACCCCCCTTCCCCCCGTTCGGTTCGCGGTCGAACATTCAAACATAATGAGAGTTCGACCGTGAACTTCGAACAGGGGGGGCAATGCACTAAGTGGCATCTTTCCACATCTGAGTATGCGGTAAGATCCCACACAGCTACTAAACACATTCTTTATTGTTTCAGCTGTCAGTGGAGTTCCCTGCTGACAGCTGAATGTAAAAAGAATTAAATCATTTGAAAAAAAACGTGTGGGTCTGGTATGGATTTAGAGGGGAACCCTCATGCCAAAATAAAAAAAAAAATGGTGTGAGGGTCCCCCCCAAAATCCATACCAGACCCTTATCCAAGTATGCAGGTCAGGAAAGGGGTGCCCTCTGCTTAACTATACCAGGCCACATACCCTCAACATGGGGGGGTGCTTTGGGGCAGGGGGGATCCCCCCCAACGCATCTTGTCTCCATGTTGATGGGACAGGGGCCTCTTCCCCACAACCGTGGCCGGTGGATGTGGAGGTCCGCTGGCGGGGGGCTTATCAGAATCTGGAAGCCCCCTTTAACGAGGGGGCCCCCAGATCATGCACCCCCCCATGTGAGGGAGTATGGGGTACATGGTATTCATTCACAAAAAAAAAAGTGTAGTGTAAAAATGACAGGAGTCTTTGATCAAGTCCAAAATTAGAATAAAAAAAAAAAGTCCCCCGAAGTCGATCCAACAACAATCACGATACCCGCCAACACTGCGGCCCTAAAAAAAGAAAAAATAATGCTCCACTCTCAAAGTTTGACAGTTCTTAAATACTGTGATTACGTCACAAGGGGGCAGGATCACTCCTGCCCCCTTGTGACGTCATCACGCGCAGGGGCGGACTGGCAACTCATGGGGCCCCTGGGCAATAGGGGATCATGGGGTCCCTGTGTCTTTGCCCACACTCAAACCACACCTAAAACAGCCTATGAGAGGTACCAGGGGCATCTCATGTGGCCCCCTACTAACCCCGGGCAGTTCCCGAGTGCCGCAATGGTCAGTCCGCCCCTGATCACACACTGTGGTTAGGTGCATTCCTTTGGCCAATCACATTGCAGTGTCAGGGCACAGTGCATTGTGCGGCATGGCGAGCAAATAGCCCGCAGAACGCCCTTATTGAACACACGAATGAACGATGTTTGAGTTGAACTAACATTTAATTTGATTTTACTAGTAAAAAAAAAAAATTTTTAGTTGAATCCCCGCTAGGACACTATCTGCATGGAGTTTGCATGTGTGCATTGTGTGGGATTCCTCCGGGCACTCTGGTTTCCTCCCACACCCAAGGACATGCTGGTAGGTTAATTGGCTCTAGTAGGTGTGTACCTGGTGTATGCATGTGAGATAAGGACCTTAGATTGTAAGCTCCTGGGGGCAGGGACTGATGTATATGTCTAGTATGTGGAATGGCCGCTGCTATATAAATCCCTGTAATAAATAAATTTTTCATTTCTGATGAAGTACTCCTGCATTGTCTTGTTTAATGGTCGGTTTTATTTTTTCCTCCATAACAGCATTCCATACTTTGAAACCAGCGCCGCGACTGGACAGAACGTGGAGAAGTCCGTAGATACCCTGCTGGACTTGATCATGAAACGAATGGAGCAATGCGTAGACAAGACCCAAGTCCCTGACGCGGTGAATGGAGGAAACTCTGGAAAATTAGACGAAACAAAAGCAGACCGAAAGTGTGCCTGTTAAATATCTCTAGAAAATAAGATGTACAGACTGATTCTCCGATACAACTCTTGTGGAATGGCTGACACACCACCACAGTGCCCCCTCCTGGTCAGTCTCTACACTGCAGCCATTCGTAGCTTCATATCCAGCTCCTCTAGGAGCCCTCTTCCCCATTGTTATGGTAAACGGCAACATCTCTTGTGAAGAAAGTGTTAATCTTATATATTTATATGCAGCATAAATGAGAGACAAAAAAAATATGTTTCTTACAGAAATAAGTGGTGACTGTGGTATAAAAAGGGGATTTTCTTTTTCTTGGTTCAGAATCATCTGTCATAGATTTTAGGCTGGATCGGGTATGCGAGTTACTAAAAAATTGCATTGTAAGCACGCCGACAAATTGTGCAACACGGGCTTTCGACCTTGTACTGTTTACATTTCTTTTCATTTCAGGATCTCCTGTTCTTTATATCTGGACGATACGGCATTTATGTGTCTCCTAAATGTTTGTGAATGAATCCGAAGTATTTTAGTAATGTGTTTTCGCTTGGTGCCTATGGTTTTTTGTTTTTTTTGCTATTATGACCATTTTATGTTCTGATCAGGTATGTAGAAAAGGACGGGTTTTAAATGTTGGTCAGGAAATGGTTCACAGTGGTTTCATATTAAAGTGTTACTAAACCCAGGACCCTGCATTCACTGTATCTGATCTCCCCGGACCCTGCATTCACTGTATCTGATCTCCCCGGGACCCTGCATTCACTGTATCTGATCTCCCCGGACCCTGCATTCACTGTATCTGATCTCCCCGGACCCCGCATTCACTGTATCTGGTCTCCCCGGACCCCGCATTCACTGTATCTGGTCTCCCCGGACCCCGCATTCACTGTATCTGGTCTCCCCGGACCCCGCATTCACTGTATCTGGTCTCCCCGGACCCCGCATTCACTGTATCTGGTCTCCCCGGACCCCGCATTCACTGTATCTGGTCTCCCCGGACCCCGCATTCACTGTATCTGGTGTCTCCCCGGACCCCGCATTCACTGTATCTGGTCTCCCCGGACCCCGCATTCACTGTATCCGGTCTCCCCGGACCCCGCATTCACTGTATCCGGTCTCCCCGGACCCCGCATTCACTGTATCCGGTCTCCCGGACCCCGCATTCACTGTATCCGGTCTCCCCGGACCCCGCATTCACTGTATCTGGTCTCACACAGTACACAGAACACGGAAATGCAAATGTTTTAGTAAATATAAACTGCTAAATATTTTTTCTCATCAGCAGTATATAGCAGTATTGTGAATTCTATCATTGTCCAGCAGAGCACTGGTTAAAGCTTGTAGGAGTTTTCATTCTGCTCTGACTATCCTATGAGGTTGTATAACCCCTGACCTTCTGTCTGGACAGTTTTGATTGGTCCTGTGCTGATCACATGCACCCTCCCAAAGAAAAAGAAACCTCTCTAGCCATACACACTAAACTGAGCATGGGCAGAGTGACTCCTAGAGCTCTGTACTATCAGCAGATGGATTGGGGACAGTAGAAGGAGGGGAGGATCAGAGAATACAGGATCAAACAGCCTTTTTACACAATATGGAGTATTAACCCCTTAGTTTCCACAGTGAGTATAACAAGCATGATTTACTGCATATACAGACTGATTGTTGTGGGTTTAGTAACACTTTAAGGCTAAGATGACCGGCAAGGTGAAATATAGAATTGTTGTAATAAAACGGCTTATATACTTGAGCGTTTGGGGCCTGTAGACCAAGCAACACAAGATTTTTTTATAGACCATAAGCTTTTTTTTTTAAAAAATATTGCTTTACTACATGACAACCTATGAAATGACAACCATTCAGTTAGCATTGTGAAAATTCAATGATTCCAAACAAATAGTTTACCCCATGTTAAAAATTTACTTCCAAGCCAGTATAGAAAACAAAATCAAAACAGTTAATCCAGTCATGTTTATTAGAGAAATAATAAAGTTATATTTACATAGACGAACATAAATACCTTAAAGTGTTTGTAAACCTCAGATATGAAATGTGAACAAAGCATATCCCACCATAGTGTGTACTTGTTTCAATCCAGAGTACTAAGGAGTTGATTTACTAAAGGGAAATAGACTGTGCAGTTGCTCCAGAGCTTAGTAAATGAGCAGAAACTCTGCTGCCTTCCATCATCCAATACAAACAGTTATTTTGCCCATGGGACTTTAAATGTGGCATGATATGAGACTAGACTGTACATTATTGGTTCATTAAAAAATACGTATAATTTTTTTTTATTGCATACATTAGAATGGTAAATATTATTTTATTATTTTTGATTCCATCATCCAATCATGTGCAAGCAAAAATCTTTTTTTTTTTATTTCCTTGAATGTGATTGGGTATTCTTTGTGAATTGAAGCTTTACCTCATTTACTAAGCTTTGGAGCAACTGCACTTTGCAAAGTGCACAGTCTAATTGCCTTTAGTAAATCAAACCTTAAGTGTCATTTCAGTCTGTTGCCCCATTCTTCTGCTATCTGCATGAATCACTTCTGCGTTTTTTTGTGACACTAAGAGAAAAAAGGTGACAGGGGAGGGATCTCCAGCACACAGCCTGTGGTTGACAGCCTCAGCTGTGTGAAGTGGGGTGTGTCCCTTCCCTCCAATCAGCATTCAGAGCACTCCTCACTGAGCGCTGCAGAATGTAACATCAGCTCCCCGTCCCCTGTTGTCTGAAAGCTCAGACAAACGTTATTAATTCTGGACTTTAAATTGCTGTAGAGAAGAGAATACTGTGGATAACAGGTACAACTTATGTAGGAGGATATGTTCCATCTTTGTGTATCACCTGAGGCTAATCACTTCATTGGCAGGGGCGGACTGACAACTCATGGGGCCACCCGGGTAATAGGGGATCATGGGGCCCCTTTGTCCTTGCCCCCACCACACCCAATAAAGCCTATGAAAGGTACCAGGGCATCTCATGGGGCCCCCTACTGACCCCGGGCCCTCGGGCAGTGTCCTGAGTTCCCAAATGGTCAGTCCGTTCCTGTTCATTGGGTATATGTAAGGGTTTACAACCACTTTAATCTGTTTTGATATTTATCACTGTAATCCTTTGCACAGTAGACCTCAGACTTAAAGAGGGAGGGGCAGCACACGGAGCCAATCAGGGCTTTGTTTACAAGGAACACGCTTACAAGAGCAAAAATCACAGGGATCCTGCTTCTTCATTGTCCAATCACAAGGTAGGGCGGGGCCTGGACCATGCTGCATTGCTGGACTGCAGAGGAGGTCAAGTATCTGACTGTTTCGTCTTATATCAGTAAACTAGATTAAGAGAATTCTGATTGCCTGGAAGAAAAACAACTTAATACACATTTGAAATACATATATTTGAACTGTTTTACGAGAATTATTTCTGTTGGGACAGTCTTGTGATTTACACTATACACTACGCTGTTCATTTTTGCATCTCTGTAGCTTCCAATGTCACCTGGCTGCTCTCTAGCCATCAAAGGAGTCCTCACCAAGCCAAGCCGCTGATCTCCTCTTGGTCCTCCCCTCTAAGATATACAGCTCTGCCTCCAACCCCAAAGCCTGAAAACATATTAGATGGGCAGCAGTGTGCTGTAGAGCCTAACCAGTTTACAGTGTCAGAACTTCCTGCACTCAGTCTGATTTCTGCAGAATAATGGATTGTGGGAAGACCATTTTAAGCTGGCCTTAAATGGTTCGAATCTCAGCCGGTTCCTGCTAAAACGGCCGAGATTCCAACCGTGTATGGGCAGCCTGAATGTACCCAAGTTGATTGAATCATCAACTTGTGTACAACCAGTCTGCCTGATTTTACAGGGTTGCAGGAAAGAAATTCTCACCATCTATGGCCTGCCTAAAGCTGGACCTAAAGGAGCCCATTTATTAAAGATGTGAATGGCTTTTCATCCCCTGAATCTGCATTCATTCAGTGCGAACTGTGCAAAAACGAATGTTCTTTATTTTGTCTTATGAACAAATTGTTGGCAGTAGTAAAATACCACAAGATGGCCACTAGATGGAGCTGAGGAACATAGGAAATACATAAGTCTTTGTAACACGAGATACAATGTAACAATTCTAGAGAACGGTAGAGGGAATTAGCAAATGTATATAACTTGGTACAAGCACAGCACTCAATCCTATGTGGGTTGGCAATGCGCAGCATTTTTTGTGAAATGAGTGGTGTCAGCCCTGCCCAGTTGTCTTTTACTAGACTACTGAATAACACCCCTTCTTTTCATCTACACAACATAACAACTAATCCATCTGTAGTTCCAAGCTATGAACTGGGTAGACTAATCAGGCTACTTTACATAACCTTGATAACACAAAGCGTTCTGTCATTGGAGGAGGTAGAATTGGCAAACTCACACTCTCCACCTTCTCCAATCAGAGAATGCTTTGAGAAAATGCAAAGTATTCTCTGAATGGCATCTGTGCCAAATGAGCGACCTCCTTTGTCTGCAAAGCAGCAGGGCAGCCGCTCAGCATGGGAATCTAGTGGAGAGTACTGTAGTAGCGCTGCCTCCTTCCCAGCTGTCATGGGGAATCCACAGGTATGGCACATACATACTTATATTGGTCCAAGCTGGTCCAATGCAACTATGCAAAAATAGTCATACCTAAAATTCAGCTTTAAAGTGGTTGTAAACCTCAGACATGATAGATGAACAAATCATATCCCTCTATAGTGTGCCTCAGTCCAGAGCACTAAGTGTCATTTCTGTCTGCTGCCTTGTTCCTCTGCTATCAGCATGAATGATCTTTGACGAGTGACATCAAGAGAAAAATAGTGACAGGGGAGGTACCTCCAGCAGACTGATAATCTCAGCTGGGGGTGTGTCTCTTCCCTCCAATCAGCTGTCAGAACTCACCACACTGAGCTCTGCAGAGTGTAACGTCAGCTCCCACCCCCTGATTTTCAGAGCTGAGAGATCCTGTGTACATTCTGCACGTTGAATGGATGTAGATAAAAGGTACAA